AAGAAACTGACATGCTCTATTAACAGAAATATAAGATTGGACTCCTGTTCCATAGTGGTACTCCAACACTTCATGGGTTTTTCCATTGATGTTTGTGGGAGCTGGTATATTTGTCTTCCCTTTTAGATCTGACATGAACACTGGGTACCCAGGTTAATTTTCTTTAAATATCACTTTGTATAAATCAGCCCAGTCATATTGTGTTTAGAGCCCTTTATGGGGTCCCTCTTTACAAGAATAAGTCCAAATTATTTGTCCTTCTAATACAAGCCTTCTCCATGTGGCTTCTCTCTTTATTACCACTCTCTTCCAAGTTCTAGGGTTTTAGTTTTTCCATCTTTCAAAATGAGGAGGTGGGTTGGGTGAATATGTGCCAAGAGTCTCATCAGCCCTACTGGCCTATGGGTCTACACTTCAAGCATGGTAAAATTCAGACACATTGCTCTGCTTATATCTCTACAGCTACATAAGCATAGTACTTTTTTTTTTTTTGCCTAATTCAGTTCTACCTTCTTCAATAAACTTCTTTCTCTGAAACACTGTTTCTCATTACCTCAACCTTATAAGTGCTCATTGTCTTCACTCTTTTGAATTCACAAAACATGTATCTATATTGTCTATCAAATCACTCACTTTTCCCTTTGCCCAACCATCCACTTCTCTATTCATCAACTCATCCATCTATTTGACCAGACATGTCTTCGGAGGCAACATGATCTAGTGGGAGGAACATACACTTTAAAGTTCTATACTCCTGGTTTTGAATCCCATTTCATTATGAATATCATTACTATTATTTTTATTATTATGTTTTACTTTTAGAGCATTTTACTGTACTGAAATTGTACTTTCTAATCTGAGAATCTGATAAAAAATATCTTTAGTACCAGATTAAAAACCTAATGTATATGTATAGGTGATTAACTTTGTAACACAGCAGAAACTAACACACCATAGTAAAGCAATTATACTCCAATAAAGATTTTAAAATAAATAAATAAATAATCTAATACATGAAAGGCATATAAGCAGACAAGTATCACCTTGCTTTTGCCTGCTTCAGATTATGAACTCCTTAAAGATAGAATTATAACATTATAACTATTTGTTAATTTAGTATCTGACACACAGTAGACATTGAATAATTGCTAGTTTATAATGTTGATGAAGTGGTAATAACATTCTCCAGAGTGGCCATTTTATTCAACAAATGACTTTTGCGACTTGAGATAGCAGACCCTGTGTTATTCTCTATAGACACAAAGATGAATAAGCACCTATTCCTCCTAGAGAAGCTTACGTTCAAGGAGAAAGACAAGCAAAGCATGATACACTGAGGTTGTTACTAAAAGTGAGCACAGTGACAATATAGGAAGGAAGATAATCTCAGTTTTGGGAGCAAGTGGAGACCTAGGTCACATCAGGTGGGTCTTAATGAAGGAGAATTGGTTGTCATAGAGATAAGGAGGCAGCGGTGGTCCCAGAGGAAGAAAAAGTGCACAAAGGCAAGGAGGAGCATTATTTGAGGGGTGTTATTTGGGGTAGTTCAGGTGTGATTCAGTTATGAAAAATATGTATGTGATAAAGTTGGAAGGTAAGAAAAGGACTTTGCATGTCAGGCTAAGCAGTTGGAATGTTTCATGTAAAATTAAGGAGCCTTGGGATTTTTTTAAGCAGTAGAATCACATGGCCAAGTAAGTCTATGTTAGAATACTCATATTAATGACAGTATGGAAGACAGACTAGTGTAGGAAAACTGGCAAAGTGGGAACATGTAAAACACAACAAAGTGATGTTCTTAAAAAAACAGATGTGAGCATCTTTCTCCTTGAGACGCTGAACTAGATATATGGTTGGAATTTCCAATTCTGAGTTTCTAGTCCATAATTTTAATCTTCTCATGAGTAGGTGATTGTCAAGAAGAATATAAATAGTAAAATGGTTTTCTAAAAGGAATATAGTTATCATTTGTAGAGTATTAGAGCAGCTTTGAATATAGATCTATCAGAGAAACACAGGGAGAAGCCATGTGAAGAAAAAAGAAGCACTTGGAGTGATGCATTTACAAGCCTAGGAACGCAGGCATACACCAGAAGCTCAGAGGAAGCAAGGAAGAATCCTAGCCTAGAGCCTTTGAGAGAACAGTTCAGATTTCTAGCCTCCAGAATTTGGCACAATAAATTTATGTTGTTTTGAAAAGAATGAAAGGAAAGAAGGAAGGAAGGAGGGAAGGAAGAAGGGAGGGAAGGAAGAAAGGAGGGAGGGAGGGAGGGAAGGAAAGAAGGAAGGGGCAATAAGTAAGTAAATAGACAGCACAACCCAATACATGTTAGGCTAGAAGTGAGCACAAGATCTATAGGAGCAGAAGAGGGCACCTTGGAGAAGCCAGGTAAGGCTTCCTGGAAGAGGTAACCTGGTGCTTACTCTTGGAGTTTGAGTAGGAATAAGCTTAAAGGGAAAAGTTGAAGTGGAAGACTGTTTTTGGCTGAGATGAACACATGGGACCCTGTGTTCCATGGGAAAACCATGCTCTTTAGAGCTAACTAGATTTCGTTTCTGAGTCTATCACTTACTGTGAATGATGAAAAGTTATTCCTCCCTGCACCTCTGTTTTGTCATCAATCAAATGGAGGAAGGAACAAAAAACTGTTCTAAATAAAAGAGGAGTCATAAGCAGGAACTCAAGCATAATAGAAGCCAAGGGGTTGTAACTTTGTCTAGAAAGTAGTAAGGAAGTTTAACAGAATATGACTACATCCTCTCTGATTTAAAGTAGATTCCTTATCATTGTGTTTAAATACAATTTTCTTTGGAATCATATTTCTCTTTGACATTTTTCAAAATGACATTGATAATACCTGTTGCATAGTTCTAAAAATGATGATATGGATTTTGCCTGGTGACCTAAAAAAGTGAGGGTAGATACAGCTAGAGTACTCCAATATTAATAAAAGCCATTAAAACTTTTACAGCATAGCTTCCAGTGACCAAAGGTTATTCCATTATATGTATGTTTATTCCAGAAGCATATTTGGAAAAGTCTTAACTGGGGCTCAAATCAATTTTTAATTTCCACACCATGAACATCTTATTTCAGCCCATATTCACACACCCACAAATGCATGCCCTTTATAATGTATCAATGTCAACATATACTAACAGAAAAAAAATTAAAAAGAAGAAGAAATGGAGAACACACAGGAGGGGATACATTACAGCTCCCTGAATAAATTGTAGTGAACACCTGTCTAAGACCATCCTTTTGTTGTTGTTGTTGTTGTTTAGATTCAGAGCATCTTCACTCTGTCAGTTCCCTGTCTATTGGACTATATAAACTTGCAAAGTTTACCATTATGTTAAACATTTTTGAATGCAAAGGTAGCGGTGGGAGACTCTAGGGAGGAAATGGAAACAGACAGATGAATCACAAAAAGAAGGTAGAAGAGGGCTTTAGGTCAATGAACTTTTTGGGGTCGTGGGTAATGCCATCCAAGAAGCTGACAGTAACATCATGACACCAGAATATACACTAGAAGGAGAGACGTGCCTCTTTGCTCACTGACCAAGCAGCTGAATACAAAGCTGAGGGGAAGGTGATCAATGAACCTCTGGTCCTGACTGTCACCATCTCACCCCAGTGCCTCCTATAAGACTGGAGTCAGCCCTTAATGGTGTCAAACTTATGTTGAAAAGCCATGGGTTGACTTTCTCCTCCTAGGAGCTGTGTGACAATGAGTTAGCAAGAGGTTTCAGGAGCTCTTCTTAGGGTACTTAAGGAGTCACTGATTGCATCAAACCTCCTAAGAAGGTGAGATCAATATTTGTAGAGCTCTAGAAGAAATGGTTGAGGTGTTTTAGACCTAAACTGGAATGCTGGGGAAGATATAGAATAAATACCTTGACAGGGTCCTGGTTGGGATTACTGACATCTAAGATGGATGGTTGCTAGGCAGGTGTTGGTAAAGATGTATAAAATGGAAGTGATTTCTTAAATGGATAGGTACATACAGAAAGTGTGTATGAATGGCCCACACAGTGGGAATGTAAGAGAGTCCCAAATAACTTCAAGGAATGTGGTCCTTATCACCATGCCTGACATGTAATTATCACATGCTGATTTATTTTATTGGGTTGAATTATATATTAAAAACCCAAGTTCTTAGAAGGAACTGGAAAGAGCATGCCAGCCACCATCCCACTAGTTCACAAGATGGGCCCTTTCCCTTCTCCTGGAAGGCCTCTTGCCCCATGTCTGAACTCCTCTCTGCACCAAATATGCTACTGCTAGGGAACTATGATTAGTTTTAGTTTTTTTGTTTTTATTTTATTTTATTTTATTTTATTTTATATGATTAGTTTTTAAGTGAGAAAATACACCCCCAATGGAAATTGACAGTGATCAGAACCAAAAGGAAAGGAGGAATGAAGGAAACCAGAATTAGTGGTAGGGAGCTTCTGCTATTGGCTGACTCTGTTGGGTAATTGCCTCATTACCCCAAATTATTCTCTCCTATTCTGCCTAGATTATTTTACAATCTTATTTCACATCACATATTCTGAAATTCCAGGAAGGCAATTAGGAAGAAAGGGAGTTCTAGGAAATGGTAGGAATTGAAGAGAGCATGGGAAAATATTTTATCTTATTAAAGTTTTCACAATCCAGTTACAAAATAGACTTGTGGTTGTTTTATTTTCCAAACTGGTATTTTGGTTTCTGATAACACACACACACACACACACACACACACACACACACACACACACACACACATGCACACACATGCACACACAAAAGTATTTCAGCTATACTCAGGATTTTTAATATGGACCTAGATGCTATAGTCACAAGATATGTAATACCTTTTAAAAATGTGAATAATGAAAAGATTGAGACATAGGTCCCTAGAAAACAGTCACAATCAATTAAAAGACAATATGATCATATTTTTGCATTTATGGCTCCTATCTTTAATTCTAATGTCTAATGTTTGTCTTTTAAGGAAGCTTACAAGTTCGCTACCAGCTAAGCAAGGAAGAAACCCATGTATTCACCATCGATACAGAGAACTTTGCCAACAGAAGACTGCACCACCTGAAGATTAACCGAGAGGGCAGAGTGTTTACCATTCAGGTACCTTACTTCCCTTCTTCTCATTCAGCCAAATGTGCCTTTGGTGCTCAATACAATTTTTCTGAGCTTCGACCCCGAGCCAACTGTGCAGCCAAGTTCTGGGGACAGGTAAAAACCACACTCAGCCCTAACCTTTGGAGAATTAGAATAGTGGTCCTCAGGGGGCATCCCCCTCATAAGCATCAGTATCACTTGGGACCTTGTAGGAAATACTAATTCTTGGGCTCCACATCAGATCTACTTAATCAGAAACTTTTCTGTGGGGAGGGGGAGCAGGTGATGCTGATGCCTGTTCAGTTTTGATAACCCCTGAACTGTAGCATAATAAGGAAATCACAAGGGATGGGTAAAGGCTGTGGGAGGAGTGTGCACAGGTGATACAGGAGCATGGATGAGGGCACCCACCTCATCTGGGCCTCAGGTACGGGTAACCCTGAACAACAAGGAGGGGAGGATAGGGGCACCAACCCCCAACCCAGTCAAAAACTTGAGTATAACTTATAGGTGGCCCTCACTGTCTTCAGTTCCTCTGTATCCACAGTTCCCTATCTGTGGATTCAACCAATGGAGGATCCTGTAGTACTGTTGTATAATATTTACTATTGAAAAAATTCCTCATATAAATGGACCTGTACAGTTCAAAAACATGTTGTCCAAAGATCAATGGTACTTACATTCTGGAGGAAGTTAGGAGTAAATTGAGTCTTGACGTTGATTTCTAATTGTCTGGGTGGGGAAGAAAGAGGCAGAGGGTCCCAGTGAGCCCCTGGTCTGAAAGAGCAGAGTGTGTGTCAGGCACTCCACAGAATTTCCGGGGTCTTGGTACAAAGAGGAGCATCAGGCAATAGTGGATCACAATAGAAAATGGGCAGAGTCCAGACCATCCTCCTTTAGAATCATGACCTCAGGTGAGCTCTTAAATCTGCCCAGAAATCACCCCTTAGTCTTTGTTAATTCATCCATCCTCCTGATCTCCTAGATGGCAATTTTAAACTTTCCCTCTCTCTCCTTAGACCGCCGACAACTGCAATTCAATCCCCACTCTTGGTAGATGACTTCATTTCCTTCCTTCTGTGAAAGAATGTAGCATTCAGAAGAGAACACACTCTCAGCACATTTCTCCACCTACTTCCATCTGTTTCTGTGTACCGCTTTCCCTCCTGTTGCTGAAAACGAACAGCTAATGGCTCTAGCAAAGACCTGACCAATCACTTGTGGGCCAGATCTCATACCTAGTGGACAGCATCACTGCAGCATTACCCTCCTCACCTTTCTTTACAGCATTTTTACAGCTCTACTTAATGGCTTCCCAAAGCATAAAGCATGCAAGTATTACAGGCATTAAAGAAAACCAAAAACATGAACAAAAAATTACAGTGTCAGGAGGGAAGGAAAACTCACTCTCTTATCTGACTCCATGTACTGCCCCATTTTCTCTTTCAGTTTATTGCCCAGTCCCTTGGAAATGTTGATTATAGGCTTGGTCTCCAAATTTCCTCTTCCTTTTCCTTAAACCTACCCAATGAAGGTTTGTCACTGAGCGGCCACAAAATCACACTTCTCAAGAGAGCAGTGGCCGGATCTTGCCGAATCCAATAGTCTTTTCCTCATTTGTCTTTCACTGGCATTTGACACAGTGACCTTTTCTTTTGTATATATTCTTTTCCATTATGGTTTATTACAGGATATTGAGTATAGTTCCCTATGCTATACAGCAGGACCTTGTTGTTTATCTATTTTATATATAGTAGTGTGTTTATGTTAATCTCAACCTCTCAATTTATCCCTCCCCCACTCCCTTTCCCCTTTGGTAACCGTAAGTTTGTTTTCTATGTCTGTAAGTCTGTTTCTGTTTCATAAATAAGTTCATCTGTATTATTTTTTAGATTCCACATGTGAGTGATATCATATGACATCTGTCTTTCTCTGTCTGGTTTACTTCACTTAGTTTGATAATCTCTAGGTCCATCCATGTTACTGCAAATGACATTATTTCATTCTTTTTTATGGATGGGTAATATTACATTACAAATATATATCATATCTTCTTTACCTGTTCATCTGTCGATAGACACTTCGATTGCTTCCCTGTCCTGGCAATTGCAGGTAGTACTGTTATGAGCATTGGGGTTCATGTACGTTTTCTAATTAGAGTTTTCTCTGGATATTTGCCTGGGAATGGGATTGCTGAATCACATGAGTTGTCTTTAACTGACATACCCCTGCGCCTCTTTTTGTTCCCCTACAGCCTCTTCTGAACACAGCAACCTGAGTGATCCTATTAAAACATTAGTCAGATCGTGACACTCTTCTGTCCAGTCCCCTTCAATGGTTTCCTTTCTTATGCAGAGTAAAGCCAAAGATCTTGCAGTGGCTTAAGAGCACCTCCATGACCGCACACACCTTGTTCGCTTCCTGCTGTGACTTCTCTGATCTCACCTATTCCTGTCCCCTCTGTAACTCCACTCAGGCCACTCTGGCCTGCTTGCTATTTCCAGAGCTCTTGAATATGCTTGAGTTTGCTTTGCCTAGAACACGATTGTTCATGTATCTACATTGCTTACCTGTACTTGTACTTCCTTCAGGACTTCACTTAAAATTTGACTCAAGGATGTCATCTTTGGGTGCCTTATTTAATACAGCAATCCAGCTCCTTGACTTCAATCCTAAACCACTTAAGCACTGTCTAACATCTGATACAACTTATCTATTTATCTAGTTTCTTGTCCTATCTCTCTCCTCTAGAATGTAAGCGTCATGAGGACAGGGATTCTTGTTTATTTTCATTACCATGGAACCTCCAATTTATCAAGCAGTGTCTCACATGTAGCAGGTCCTTAATAAATATTTTTGACCTAGGTGAATTAATTCCACAAGGTATGTGGAGAAGATTAAATTAGCCCTGTGGAGAGGGGAAGGAAAACCACTGGATTTTAGGCAGGGAAAGTAGCATGGGTAGCCTTTTTTTCCAGAGGCTCACTGTGATTTCTCCATGGAAATACACATTTGGGAGTCATGAGATATAGGACAGAGACCAGGCAGGAAGAGAAGGTAAGGGCCTCAACTAATGCAATGGGGTAGCCAATGAGAGGAAGACTTGAGAAAGGTCTGGAAGAAACGTCAGTAGCCTTAGGTGACTGTCTGGATATGGATTATGGGATAAGTCAAGACTGAATATTCATTTTTTTGATTGGGGGGAAGTTCAGGAGTCATTGGCAAATGTAGGACACAATCACAATTCCTGAATGATTATAATTTAATGGACTCACCTCTAGTATTGACTCTTGAAATAAGAGTTAAAAGTCTTTGGGTTGAAGCTAGATTAGAGGACAAAGGAGGTGGAAATTATAACATCTTTTTTGAACATGTCTTGACTGAGGCCTTGATGGGACATCTAGGCTGCATGCTGGTGGGCATTTGCATATATGACCCCTTCTCTTTTTCTTTCTATTTCCTGTCTTCTTTCCACAAACAAAAGGCACAAATAGGGCAGTGAGAGAACAATGGGGTACTCCCTTCTCTTCTCCATCTCAAGCGTTCCCACCAATCAATCAATAGTCAATGATAAGCACATATCTGTGGAAGACATAACATTTCCAAAGCACAGAAGTAGTAGAAAAAAATGGAGATGGAGAGTTTCTTTGTTTTTTAACTTTAAATCAATTTATTGACACAGTCACATGACATACTTGTCTCTGTGACACTCCCACCCACCCCCATCCCCCCTTGCCCTATCTCTTCTCCTTCCTCCCCACTTAGAACAAGCCTTCCCTGGTGGTCCAGTGGTTAGGACGCTGTGCTTTCGCTGGTGAGGGCGCAGGTTCAGTCCCTGGGTGGGGAACTAAGATCCCATGTCTCTTGCGCAGCCAAATTTAAAAAGCAACAACAACAAAAAGAAAAATAGAAGAAAAAAAAGGAATAAGCTATTTAGTAAAAACAGAAAGGGGTAAGCTACTGCTCCATCTCAGTCTCAGGCATTACTCAGAACCAGTTATAAAGAGAGGGCAGATGGTTAGCACTATACTCAGCCAGCCAGAGGCCTCCAGTAGCTACAAACAGACCCTCCCTCAAGGTATAGTCTTGAGGTACTAGTCCTTCTCCTCTCTGCTCTGTGTGACTCTGGGAAGGAGTCCTTAGGGACCAGGGCTGCAGGCAAGAGTGAGAAATCCTGGTGATGATTTGAGAATTGTAACTTGGCCAGTGGTTTCTAAGGCTCAGGTGCCCTGACCCGTGCCCTGGTGGTGGAGGTAATCTACAGTGTCCCTACTTAAAATATATTAATGTCATTAAACAGATTAACCCAGGTTACCAAAATGCCAGCACAATTACGAGCTGTAAAGAAAGAGGAGGCCCAGCATTTTCAATCCATGGAGTTAATGTCTTCCTTTGAGATGTGAAGACCCTGAGATCAAGAGAGGGATCCCTAGTGTGGGACAGGCTTGGATATAAATCCCAGCTCCATCACTTATGCTCTGGGATCTTAGATGGGTTATGCACCTTTCTGAGGTTCAGTCTATTTATCTGTAAAAAAAAGTTTGAGTGTTGTGGGGATGGGCTGGGGTGCAAATGCAGCTGAGCTCAGTCGGTTCTGGTAAAGGTTCTGTGAAAGAGCATAACTAAGGGACCAAGCACAAAGCTTGGCATCTAGGGCTCACAAAAAAAGAAAGAAAGAAAGAAAGAAAGAAAGAAAGAAGAAAGAAAGAAAAAAATAAAAAGATTTGTTCAATTTCCTTCCTTTTCTCATCTCATTTAATGAATTTACAAGACCACTGGGCATCCTTGATTCTGAGATTAACAAAGCTTCTCGAGGCCAGATTACAAATTTTAGGCACCCTAAAGTTTAAAGGACTGTGATACTTCACTCCCTCACCACCTCACCAACAGCAGTTAAAGAAAATCAATCCTAAAGCATAAAATAAACATAAGGGAATATAACATAATAATGTATTTATTGTTGAAGACTTCAGTGATTGCCTAGTCCCTATCATAAAGAATGAGGTCCTAGAAATAAATATTTGTGGTACAAACCCCCACTTTTTTTGCTTTTGCCCTGTGCATTTGCTAAGCTTTTCAAATGGGTAACCCAGCACCTGAGTCAGTACTAAGGGTGCCCTCAGGTGCACTCAGGTGCCCTCACTCCACATCAGGGCTGGAATCCATTCCCCAACTATCTCAAGCCTTCTTTGAATCATCCTACCTTCATCTCCAAACCTTTATAAATACTTATTAAAATAAATAACCCTTTGATTAAGTGACATTCACCTCCTTCTCCCCCTTATTTGTCATCTGGTTAAAGTAGAAAGGACCAGGTAAGTTCCCAAAAAACAGAACAGTAGGACAAGAATGACTCATATACTAGAACAATTAGCTCTTCCAAGCATGACAGTGTTGAGAGAATCACTTGCATAGGAAATTGATCCTTTGGAGCCTGGGGAGGAGATGAGAGGCAGAAGCTAGAGGAATCTCAGCTCAACCTTCAGTTCTAAGAATCCTTCTACTGTTCTCCACTCAGCAGG